ATAAAGAAAAATAATCATAATATAATAATAAAATTTATTTAAATATTTAGATAGGTTTATTTTATATAAATAATATTAATATATAAATAGGCATTATTAAAAGAAAACTTGATTTCAGGCTTTAAATTTTTAAGGCTTTGTTGATTTAATTCTAAATTCAAAAGCCTGAAGTTTAGTTTTTTAATATTACTTAAATAAAACAAAAATTATTATTTTGTTTATTGCTTTTGTATATTGTTTTATATAAGCTATATGCTATACTTAATAGCCATGCTTATAATATTTATAATATTTTAAATAAAAAAATTATAATTGATATTTAAAAATATCTATAAAAGCATAATTATTCTGATTTGTAAATTTTACAAAACATGGGTTCTCCGCATCCTATTTGGAATTATTTTGATAAGCTAGGAATGTTACTGGATTTCAACAACCTAGAGCTAAATGTTCCACATATAATTATGAATTTAATGAAACTACAAAATCTGCAATTAAACATTTTAAAAAAATGTCAATTAGTTTCAAATAATAAACAGAATGAATATTTAGAATTAGAAAAAGTTTACAAAGATGCAAGTAAAAAATTAAATACTAATTTAAAATCAACATTATCAACAATAGTATCAAGTTAACAAACCTTTAAACAAATAACATTAAATATTTTATCAAATCATATGACATCTCAAGAGCAAAAAATATTAGAACTAAAGTTTGCTAGCTTAATTTATTAATGTGGTCTTATTTTATCATTAACCGAATTACAACCTATAATTGATTTATGAAAACAAGCAAGACCAGCTTTTAAATTACCATCACACAAACATTTGTTAACAATATTACTTGATAAAGTTTATAATGAAACTAAAAAGGAAATAGAATCTTATATTTCAAATTGTAATAATTTATGTTTAATCTCAGATGGTTGGTATGTAATATATAAATTTTGTACAATTATTTAAATTTATATAATATATAAAAATTTAAATACTGCAATATTAGATAGCAAAAATCTAATATTTATATATAAAATATAAAAGTGTTATAACTTAAAAACAATACGCGGAGGATCAGAATAATGACGGTCAGACCAAACGTGTGAGAACCGAGCTTAAAACAGTGAGCGCCCCTACAGAAGAAAGTTTATCCAAATCATCACCAACACCATTAGACTCCTATGATTTGAATATATACTATAATCGATATCTTAGTCACTATCAACTACCTTTATTAAGAGAACCACAAACTATTAGTTCATTTAGACAACATT